ACTGCAGCCCCCCCGAGCCCCCCGGCCGCTCCCTGCCGGCCGCCCGAGTCCTGCCACCGCCGGTGCTGGGACTTGCCAGCCCTGCTATAAAAATCCACAGTTAGTAGATGACCTCGTAGACTGTGGCTTTCTTGTCACCAGAGCCTGTGACGATGTACTTGTCATCCGCTGAAATGTCACAACTTAAGACGGACGAGGATTCCTTGGACTGGAAAAAGGGAGGGGGAATGGGGTGGGGGAGGCAGGAAGAAAAAAAATAAAAATCAAACCATCAGCTTGGTTTCCCCAGCATGGCGGCCGCAGCCGTGTTTCACCGAGCAGCATCACCACCTCCCGCATGCTGGGTAGGGATCTAGCCACCCCAAAAAAGGATTTAGCCCCCAATCCCCAGGGATGATGCTGAGAGGGGGGGGTCCAGGCGCCACCCCCCCCGTGAGAAGCAGCCTCCCACCTGGAAGATGCTCGCTCCGTAGGGCGTCCTCCAGGCGTTGAGCAGGTTGTCTTTGCCGGTGCTCACAAACCATTTCCCTGCGCCCGGGGAACACGGTGTCAGCACCCAAAAAAGCTGCCGCTCCCACCCCAAAGCCACCAACCAGACCACACAGTCAGCCCATCCCCCTGCCACCAGAGCCTTCTGGCTGTTTCCCCTCAGAAACTGGGAGATTTGGGAAAAATCTGGAGCTTTCCAGCCCCTCTCTCCTGTTGGGATGTGTTGGTTCCCCTCCCACGACGCAGTGATTCACCACCACCACGTGTTTTACAGGGATAACCCCCAGCCAACACTGCGGGATGGATCCTGCCGGAGGCCCCGACGCTCAGACCCTCCCCACCGTGGTCCCCACGTGTCCACAGAAGGAGCCGGGGGAGCCCTTTATGGGGGGGGTCCAGAGCCGCTTACCACAGTAGGCAAACTTGAGGGAGAGGACGCAGCTCTCATGGAGGTGCAGCTGGTACTTGTCGGGTTTCGTGTGGTGCAGCACCTCCACGTTGCTGCTCTCCATGCCCACCGCCAGCCACTCGCCCGTTGGGCAGTAGCCCAGTGAGAAGATCTGCAAGGTGGGGGGAGACAGAGAGGTGGCTCAGAGCAGGGGGTCTGCACCCACCAGCTCTCCCTGCGGCCCCCTGCCAACGCCCTGTTGGGGAGAGATGCTGATCGCCCGAGCTGGAGTGACCCCATTAGGGATTTTAATAATGTGATGGTTTTGTGGGTAGCAAGGCCGGCAGTTCTGAAGAGGAACTGCCAGACAGGCAGGGAATGACACAGCTGGGTCCTCTTCTATTGCTGCCACAAGGTGGGTACAGCAAAGCTGGGAGCCAGTGGACAGTGCCTGGCCCTGCAGCACAGCCCCGGCTGCAGCATCCCGCAGCCTCTTCCAGGGAAAACTGTGGTGGCATGGCTTCTGGATGCCCAGCTCCATCCCAGCGAGCATTAATGCAGTGGAAAGTCAGAGTGCCAGTGCCGCGGGGTCAGCAGCTGGGATGTAGCAGAGACCTCGGCCCCTGATCACACAAACTCCAGTTTTGCCAGCTGTATGGCACTGGTGGCGGTGGCCGGCCAGCCCCGACAGGGTGCAGCCAGGTTTGGAGAGACACTTCCAGACGTTTGGAGCAGCCGCACAAGACCTGCCGACGTCGGGCCGGCTCCAGCCCAACAGGGACTTGCCAAGGGGACACGAGTCCCAGCTTTTCCCCTCTGGACAAGGGCTCGGGAGCAGCCTAGGCTCGTCCTTGTCCCTAGGTGAGCACTGCTTGCTTAAAGGCAGCCTGGTCTTACAGCAGGTGAAAAAGTGATGAAAGAAGAACTGAAACAAGAGCTGGGGAGCCCTGCAGCTCCCGCTGCCTTGAACACTCTTGGGTTACACCGAAAGCAGCAGGGACAGCAGTGCCCAGGGCAGGCCGTTTCCCCTGACCCAGAAACCGTGGAGGGATAAATCCCTGCACGGAGTCTCTGTGAGGAGCCGCACAGCAAGGCCAGGACGTTCCCCCCTCCTGGGGCCAAGGGCACCCTGAGCTTACCTGGGAGGTGAAGTCGTGCTGCTGGAGCTGCCGCCCTTCCCGCAGGTCCCAGGAGCGCACTGTGTTGTCCAGACCCCCCGTCCACAACTTCGTACCATCGTGGGAGATATCTATGCAGCTGGCACCATCCGTGTGGCCTTGGAATTGCCTTTGGGCAGCAAAAAAAATAATGCAAATCTTCAATAGCAAACAAAAAAGTAGGTGGCTTCAAGGGAGTTGGGGCTCAGGCTGCGTTCATGAGGCTTCCCAGCATGCCTGGAAATCTGCCCAGGGAGCAGCCCTCACCCAGGCACAGCGGCCCTGCTGAGCCTGATGTGCTCACTTACAGACAAAGCAGCACGAGATGCCATTCTAGTCCCCGTCCCTAAGGTCCTCCCACCAAAACAGGGCCAGCAAGCCCCCAATTATGGAGCAGAGGAAGCCCCTGGGGCCGGCTCACCTGACGAGCGTCTGGTTGTGCAGGTCCCAGACAGCGATGTTGCCATCACTGCAGCAGGAGAAGCAGACTTTGGCATCGGGACTGATGGCCAGGGCGTAGCAGGCTGGGGCAGAGGAGGTCAGCTCGGCCTTGATGCGGGGTGTGGGGGAAGCCAGGTCCCAGATGGTGAGCGTGCTCGCCTCCCCTCCCACGATCAGCGTGCGCCCATCGGGGAGGAGTTTGCAGGAGCGGATGTAGTTATCTCGGTTCTGGAGGGGGAAGAGGCGTTAGCAGGAGGATGGGGAATGATTCACCATGTTAAAGGTGGGGGGAAATCAGGGGGGACACATGCCCGGGGGCCAGCAGCAATGTGCTGCTTCAGTTTTGGGCCCCTCACTCCAAAAAGGACGCTGAATGACTCAAGCGTGCCCAGAGAAGGGCAATGGAGCTGGTGCAGGGTCTGGAGCACAGGTCTGATGGGGAGTGGCTGAGGGAACTGAGGGGGTTTAGTCTGGAGAAGAGGAGGCTGAGGGGAGACCTCATCACCCTCTACAGCTCCCTGAAAGGAGGGTGCAGAGAGGGGGGATAAGTCTCTTGACCCAAGGAACAAGTGACAGGACAAGAGGGAATGGCCTCAAGCTGCGCCAGGGCAGGGTCAGACTGGCTCTTAGGAAGTATTTCTTTCCAGAAGGGGTTGTTGGGCGTTGGAATGGGCTGCCCAGGGCAGGGGGGGAGTCCCCATCCCTAGAGGGGTTGAAGAGTTGGGTTGACTCAGCGCTGAGGGATCTGGTGGAGGTTAATGGTTGGACTGGATGATCTTCAAGGTCTTTTCCAACCAAGATGATTCTGGGATTCTGTGCTGTGGCTTGCTCACGCGTAAGAAATGCTCCAGCTTGTGGGCGAGGCTGTCCCGAGCCCCCTTACCAAGCAATCGAGCTGGGAGATGGGGCTCTTGCTGCCCGGCTGGCTGATGTCCCAGATCTTCACACAGCCCTTACCCCCCGTGTAGACATGCCTGGTGGGGTTGCTGATGGTGACGGCGCACACCACCTCGCCGTGGCTCAGCGTGTTGATCTGCCGGGCGTGCCGCGGGATGCCAGGACCAGCCAGGGCGTCATGGGGAAAAGGCACTGGCTGCATCTGCCCATCAGCGCTCACATGGAAGGAGTAGGCTCTGCCAGGGAAGGGCAAGGCGAGGGATCAGCCCCAGAGATGGAGGTTTTGCTGCAAACCCAGTGTACAGGGCCAAGGCAGGGGTTGGCATTGCAACCTAGTCACCAGGTTGTGCCTTGCTGCCACCAAGGGTCAACAGGGGCTTGGCCAGACCCAGCCCCACACTCCTCTCCCTCCCGGGCATAATCACCCCCACCCAGTGCACAAAAGTAATCCAAGAGGGGCTTACGGCTTCCCTCCAGGGATGGACGCCAGGCTCGAGGGCAGGCCGGGGGCTCTCATGGGTGGGTGCGGGTCAAAACCAACCTGCCAAGAGACACGCGCGTAGGTAAGGCCAGGCAGGAGCTGGGCACATGAACAAAGAGCTTCCCCACCGCGAGCCCGGGCAGGCATGGGGCGACACTGGGTGCCTCCCTCTTTCCCTTGCTGCTCAAGAGCTAATTTTTATCTTTTCCCCTGGCAGAAAGGGGAAGGACTGGGGAATGAGCCAAAGGTTTCAGGTCTGCAAGGAGCAGCATGGGATGTGCTCACCCTCCCCATGCTCTTCCAGAACCCTCAGGGACAGGAGCAGTCAAGTCATGCCCAGGACCCTAGCCGTAGAAAGCCCCATCTCTGCATTAACAGCAGCGTTGACTTCTTGTTTTGACTGGGTTTTTCCTTAAATCAAGTGTTTGGTGAAAATAATGGGAAGGGAGCTGTGTAGTGGGTACTTCCCATGCACCACAGAGGGGAAGGATAAACCCCAATGCACACGCACATCACCCCACGGGGAGGCATCCCCACGTCCAGCACCCTTTGAGAGAGGCCGATTCAAAATGCAGCCGGTGAGGAGCCCCAGTTTCACAGCTGTGAAACCCCTCCCTGCACCCCCCTCTCAAACCCTCCCCACACCCACCGGGAGCGAGAAAAGGAGCTAAAAGTGCTACGTACAGCTCCAAAGCTCACCATTGGCGACCGGCCATAGGCAGCGGCGGCGGCGGCAGCGGCACTCATCTGCGGGGGGATGTTGTGGAGCCCCGCGTAGGCGCCAGGGCTGGTGAGCGAGCCGTTCATCTCGTGGTGCCCCATCATGGCGAAGGGAGCCGCGTAGGAACCCGCGATGGAGATGGGCGTCCGCAGGGCTGAGGCTGCGCCAGGGTTGGGGACACACTCAGGAGACAGAGCCTGCCTGCAGCCACCCTCCCCAGCCCCACGAATCCCAGAGGGGAAGACACAATGGCTGGAGCTCCCTCCTCACCTCATCTCTGACTCGGGGGCCACCCAAGCTGCTGGCACCCCGATCCCAACCTGGATTAGGTCCCTGATAAACCCGAACCCCCGCCCAACAAAGCCCAAAGGAGTGCACGGGGGAAGCTGTACTAGGGACAGCAGTGGGGAGGTGGCACAGGAGGGGACCAGTACCCACCTAGGGGGTCCATCCCAGTCGGTTTGCCGGGCATTGGCCGCAGCCCTGGGGTGCTGCTCGTCCCCGGGGTGGGAGCGTCATTCCTCGGCGTTGGAGTGTTTGACTTGAGCCCAGGCGTCGACGATTTGTCGTTCTGGATGGAGAAGGGATGAAAAACAGAAAGGATGAGGCTCAACCGCCAGTACCCGCAGCCATGCTCAGTCAACCCCCAGCCCCAGTGAGCACCCATGGCCAGCGGGGCCTGACCCACTCGCCCCAGCAAAGCAAAGGACATACATGGCCCAGGTCTTTAGTCTTGGAGGAGGGAGTGCTGCTGGAGGAGGCGACCGAGGCCGGGCTGTTTGGCGCGTCCCCCTTCTTCAGCCCACGGGCTTTGTCTATGCCGTTCTCCGGGGGGGAGTGGGCTGGGCTGACCCGGGGGGTGGCGGGGTCCTGCGAGACAGGAGAAAGCATTGGCACCCCCAGCACCAGGGAGGGCTCCCTCTGCCTCCTTTTTCAGGCAAAAATTGGGTCAGTGGAGGCAGGGGGGGGGGCCTTAAGGTATTGCCCCCCACTGTGCTGTGTGGAGAGAAGCAGATCTGCTGAAAGGCCCCCGGGACTCACCTCGTTGGAGACATCCACCACTAGGTCATCGCTCTTGTCACCATCGCTGTCCTGAAACACAAAGAGAGTTACATCCCGCTAAGAAGATGGATCCCACGGGGAGCCAAACACCCCACCCCCAGGCAGCAAGATACTGGTCACCTACACCACGTTTGGAAAAATATTACCCAAATCCCACTTTCTCCCACCCAAAATCGTGTCTGGTGCCCCTGGATGTGGGCACAGAGCATCCCTGTCACTCACATATCGGCTCATGCTGTCCTTCTCCTCCGCTTTCCGCTTCTTGGAGTCGATGCTGTAGTCCGTGGAGCTCCGGTGCTTCTCGCTGGCTCTCAGGCTCTCCGAGGGCGAAACAGAGTTATTCTGTGATAATGGAACGGAAGACACTTTTAAGGACTCCACGACTAGCAGCTTAGAAGGTGCCACACACCAAGTCCGAACCCCAGACCTGCCCCGTACGACAAAACGCCAACGGCAGGGTGAGACCAGGGAGCAGGGGACATGGTCCAGCCTGGGCACCACGGCACTGGGCATTGCTCTGAGCCCTGGGGATGCTGCTCTGTCCCAGTGATGCTGCTCACGGGCACCTAAGCCTATTTACTACAAAATCACAGCAGAAAAAAAATAAAGGGAGGAGCTGATTCATGTTGAAAGTCCCTGGAAGGAAGCTCCGTGCAGTTCCAGCAGCTCCCAGCAGCCGCTGGGATCCACCAGTGGCTACTGGTGAATGCAGAGGGAGAAAGCTGTGCTCCCCTAAACTAGCCCTGTCACCATAGTTCTCTGTTGCCCATGGGGAGCAGCAGAGCTTCACTCTGGCCCTGGGCAGGGCTTTGCACAAGGGCTGGCACCCACAAGAGCCCACGGGTGCTTCCTCAGGCACCAGCGGGGCTGGGAGGGGCCTCATCCCTGGCGTTCATTCGGGGAGCAAATCCCAGCCCCCTCCAAGCTACTCCAGCAGCTGAGCCAAAGGGCATCCAAAAACCATTTGGGAAAAAAAAATCCACATCACCAGGAGGGACAGAGCCCAGCACCCAGTGGCGCAGCTCCGCTCGGAGAGGAGGAGTGGGGGACTGGCTGCATCCAGGAGACGCCGGCATTCCCAGGAAAACCCCTCACATGCTGGGATGGCACCGGGAGCAAAAATGGCAGCACCAAACCACCTTGAGAGTGCCGGAAAAAGCCCAGCCCCGCATCACCCTGCGGCACAGCCTCGGCCCCGCGCAGACGCCCTTCAATTAGTTTCTCGGAGCAGCACGAGAAATTACCATCATTTCATGTCTCAGAGCAGAGCGCGCCGCCCCTGCTAAGCAGAAATGTTCCTAAGCTCCTCTGCCTGCCTTTCTTTCCCAGCTGAAAGGGAGAACTAAAGCAGTTCATGTTTCTCCTCGGTACCCAATAAGCAGCTTTGGATAACACCGGGGTCTTTCTTCTCAGGCAGTCATGCTGAAAAACCTCGCAGCTACCAGAGAATCATGTCAAGCATTTAGAGGCATCGATCCATTCAGCCCGCCGCTGGCCTGCCGCCAAGAAACTAAATATTTTTTATTGCGCCGGCAAGGCTAGGAAAATATGAATGACTAACTCTGATTATCGTGCGCATTAAACCTCCACAGGGAATACCCTGTATTTTATTTTATAGATTGGGAACCTTCCCATCTCTGACGGCCCCCTCCCCACCGGAGGAGGAGGTTAATGATGCCCAATTCCCCTCTCCCCCCTTAAATGGCACTTTTCTTCCCATCCGCCCCCGGCTCTCAAAAGGCCCATTTGTGGGCTCGGGGATGGCAGGAAATCGCTGCAAAGCCGCAGCTCAGCCGGGCTTTGTCCTGCCAGTTTTACCCCGAGACAGCGGCATTGTGCGCCCCAGGGGCGGGAGGCATGGGCTGAGCCCCCCGCTAGAGGGAGGGCAGCCCCCCACCAGGCTCCTACCAGCCTCTGCCCACCAAAAAATATATTCACCGCCCTCTCTGTCCCTGCTCAGGCACTGCCCCCAGCCAAAACAAGAACCAAACTGCTGCTATTAACAGCGAGATGTCAGGGACACAAATAAAAAGCAGCCGTGCTGGAGGTGACGGTTGCCCTCCACCACGGTTATTTAGCTGGTTAGTTAACTGCTTGACCTTCCAAGTCCTACTTAACGCAGCGTAATAGCCAAAACCCATCCCGACAGATTAGATGACCCAAGATAATAGAAGAGTGATCAGGAATAAAATAGCTTTCCTAATCGCTGAAGGATTTTTAGCCGCGCAGACTTGACTGCGCTCATTCACAGGGCTTAGTCAATTGAAACCAAATCTCGAAGCTCTGCGGCAATCAAAAAGATTTAAACCAAATCTCATAACTGGCCCGGAGGAGGCGGCTCCGCTCGCCCCAGCACAGCCGACAGCCCAGCAGCTCTTCCAGCCAGGGTGGAGGGTTTGGTTTTTTTTTTTTCCCCTCTTTTTTTTTTTTCTTTAAAGAGGACCTGTGCAAAAGGCACCCCTGGAGCTCACACCCACATGCCTGTTTTTTAAAACAACAGATGAAATAAAAAAACGCAGCCACCAGAAACTGGGAAAAAAAGGAGGTTAATGGGACTTACTGCACTTGAGTCTCGCTCTTTTAGAAGAAGCCGGTGTCAGAAGCGAGGTCACAGCCAAAATAAAGAGAAGACAGAAAAATAAAGCAAGTTAGAGTAAGTCTTAAACAGAAAACTAAACCTAGAGCTCCTCCTTGCACAGTCTCCTGCCTTAACTCAAACCCTCCTATCTGGGCTCACTTTAGCTTTGCTTTAAAATTCCCATTCCCTGCCCATCCGTCTCCTGCTGCCTCCTGCCCCTTTCTTTTTGTCGATGTGACTTAGTTGGCAAAACACACGGAAGAAAGGGGAAATGCCCTGAAATGCAGAGGAACGGCATCAGCCTAAGGCACTGGCACCCGAAGTCACAAATGCAGAAGGCCCCGACCGCCCGTCTCCGCAGCCACAGCAGCGGGATGTGGTTTAGCCATTCATTTGCACACAAACAGCCCCGTTTTCCCTGGGATCTCCTGGCAATTTGAATCCATGCACAAAAATGAACGTAACTTGGTAATCGTACCAATATTTTTTTATCACTGGCTTTCACTGGGAGGAAAAACCACACCAAACCCACCAGAAGAGCCCTAACACTTCATGAGGCTGTTGGGTGACCTGCAAACAGGCGTAGCAAGGGGCAAGATCTCAGCTCTTCGCGTGTTAGTGGGCAGAGGGATTTGCAGGGAAAATCTTCAAATCTGCTGGCTTGCAACTGAACTCATGCATCTTTTTATCTTCTAAAAAGATTGTCTTATTGCAAATAATAAGAAAAAACAGCATGTTCGCTCGTCAAGAATGCTGGTTATCACAACATTGAAAGCCTCTGACAGTAAAAGGAGAAGGAGGAAGGCTGCTTTTGTTGCTAAGGCACAGCTGAACAGGGACACAGGATTTGCACCCAGACTCCACCAAAGCCTGCAAGGACTCAAACCTGCATGCGAACACGGGGGGCACATGAGCAACACAACCTGACAGAGGCCAATTTGCCACTGCCACTTCTCAGTGCAGTTTGTGTTCCCTGCCCTAAAGGAGCCAAGAAAGGAGCAAACTGACCTCAAAAAAACAGGGAATTGCCCAGAAGCTGCCGTGGGGTATATCCTGTGACAGTGGCAGCACCCCCCGTGGCCACCGAGGCCCAAGCATCATTTTGGGAAAGCTGCACCCCTCAAAGCACAAGCCCACCCCTGAAGGCTGCTCCATCCCGACAGATGGGGGGACACAGTGAAGAGCAGCCCCCAGGAACAGCATCAACCCGGCCACTCGCTCTCACCTCTGTGGTCCAGGTCATGATGGTTTTTCTCATCTTTGACGGCAAGGTGTGCCTGGCTGCCCAGGGCGCCGAGAGCCAGCAGCCCCGAGCTGCTGCCGGTGACCGGTGGGATGCCCGGCGGCTGGAGGCCCGAGGGGTGGGACTGGGGGCCCATGAGCGGCGTGGGAGAGGTGCTGGGCCTGGAGCTGCTGCTGCTGCAATAAAACCACCAGTGAGCCGGGGAGAGGGGGCAGCAGGACCAGGGCAGGGGGGTGGGTGAGTTACAAGGCATCGAGCAGTGGCGTGGTGGGAAGGGACGTGGCTGAATTCACGCCAGGAGGGCGGCGAGGTGATGCCACGGGGAGCTGCCCCCTGCATGGCTGCCTGGAAGGAGAAACCCTGTTAGCAGGAGGAATGGCGGGCGCCCTGTGCACAGCCCCAGGGGTGACCTCTAAGGCAGCTAAGCCTGTACGTGGCCCACACACCCCAGGCCAGACCACAGGAATCATCCTTAATTCAAGGTAATTCACATCGTCACTGCAGACTTGGATAGTTTTGCTTTTCAGTAGGTATAAGCAGAAAAAATAAAGACAGAAATACCGCCCAGGACGCAGAAAGCGGCTCTGGCTAGAGTGCCAGCTGCTAAACCAGATCGGAGAGAGAAAACCTGAGCATCCAGGATCCTCCCAGGACACCTCAGAAAACAAGTTTTGCTCATTTGCTCAAGACCTGCTTTAAGGTGCTTGATGGTAAGAAAACCCCACACTGCTCCCAGCCGCACCCCCCCCAACATCAACTGGATGTCCCCTGCCCTGGGATGGGCTGGTCAAACGGCGGGTGCACCCCCTCCCTGTATTGCAGGGCCAGAGAATCCCTCCCAGCAGCCTGGCCAGGAGGGTGCAGGGCCCCTCCCAGCTGCTCCCCACGGCTCTGGGGACCAGCGAGCCCCGGCTGTGGGAATTGCCTGCTCAGTTTTAGCTACAGGGAGCTTGGGGAGAGGAAGGGAAAACTGAATACACACCTGCATTTCTATTTCAACAAGCTTGAAGAAAACAAGCTGAAATCAGGGTTGCTATGGGTCAAGGGGTGTTGACCGACCCCACTCAGTGGGGGTGTCACTTCCAAGAGCCCCACGCCACCACTCCTGCAGCTCTTCCCACCCAGAGGCAGCAGTGGCCCAGCCCAGAGGGTCTCAGACTGGGTGTTCATGTTTCCAACCCTCCTATGGTCAGCTCGAGCAGTGCCCAACTAGCCACTGGTGAAAGCTGCATCTGGGCAACTGACCTCCAGTGGGAACGACGGGCTGGGGGCGGGCACCCAAGGTGCAGTGGAGCACCCCCACCACCAGCTCGGAGCAGGTTTTCTCCCTCCCCGGTGTTGCCGAGCGTGGAAGAACGTGGCACAGGGCACGCCGAGGGGTGCGGATGGAGAGCAGGTCAGGGCTGTCCCAGCAAGGTGCAGGGGGGGGTCAGTCCCAGCCCTGCCCCATCGCAGCATGGCTCGATGCACAGTAGCAGGAAAGCACCAAAAATACCCTCCCCAGGTATTTTTCCATCCTATTTCCATCAAGGAAATCTCCAGCACATCTCCCCAGCGCTGCAAGGGGATGCACCCAGGTGTCCCCAAACCAGCTCATGCTCTGTAGCAGTGGGGTGACACCCCAATACAGCCCAACAAGGGGTGCATGACACCCCAGTACAGCCTGAGGGGGCAGCACCAGTCGCTGCGATGGCCCCACAGCTCCCAAAAGACACCAGGAGAGCAGCAATGGGTTTAACCTGAGGGGTCCTGCCTTCTGCTTCACACAGGGCACAGCTTGACCCCATTATGCAGAGGAGGGGCACTCAAAAATTCTTCCCAGCCTCAAGCCAGGCTGCAGCCCCCCCATACCCATGGGGTGCATACAAATCCCCTGCCAGGCCCCATGCACCCCACAAACACCCCCCAGCCCAGCTGCAGGAGCCAGGATGCAGCTTTTCAGAAAAACCCCCACACCAAGGTTTCAGGAAACACATGTTCCACCCACCCCCCGACTAAGGGTCCTATTTTAGGGGGTAGCAGGAAGGGGGTGACTTGCTGTCACATGCTGCTGGGCACAGGGGGACAAGAGCAGTTTCTGGGTCCCCAGGGCAGACCTGGGTCCAGGGGGAGGGGGTGGGTGACCCACACCTGCCAGGCACTGGTTTCTAAGCCTGGTGCGAGGCAAGAGGGAAATCCCCGCCCAGGATACAAGCCAGGCTCAGATCTGTGAGGCAGTGGCTGCAGTTTCACGCGGAGATGCATTATCTTAAAACGCAGCTTCTTCCGGGCAGCACAGAGGTCTCAGCTGTGTCAGAAGCCGAATCAAGAAGGCAATTAGGCCTCTGCAGTGCTGTTATACTTGGCTTCTGCTGGGCTGCTCCATCCACAGGGCAGAGGAGGGGAAGCATCCTCAGGACCATTTGGGGAGGCGTCCTCAAACCGGTGCGTGCAAGGCAGCAGTACAAGGAGAGAGCTTGCTGGCAGGGCAAGGGGAGCACAATGAGGGGGTGCCCAGCCACAGGGGGGTCCCCCAGCCCCAGGGGCTCTGCCGGATGGTGCCAGCCCCATGCTGGTGTGTCCCTTGGCAGTGGGGAACACGGCCCCTGCCTCCTCGCCATGCACCGAGATCAATCCATCCAACACCAACAGACGAGGAAGAGTCTCGGCTCTTGCTGAAAGCAACGAGGCTCTTTACAGTCCCAATCACACATTATTTCCACCCATTTAAGTGAGAGGCAGAGCCAGCCATTGTATCAAAGCATCACCCTGGAGAACAGCTCCCGACAGTTTTCCAGAAGGATACGCTCCTCCCCTACAAGCTTTCCCACGGTGCCCATCACCATGGGGCTGGGACGCAGAGATGCAATGCTTTATCCTCAGCAACCTCCAACTTCCACGGTAGGCAGAAATACCTGCACTGCACAACACCTCTCCCAGGAACTTTCCACCCCCTGCAGCAGCAGAAGCCCCAGAGAAGGGCAGGCTCGGTCTCATGGGCACCCTGAGTCCAGGCCAGCGATGTCGCTGAGGGTCACAGCCTTGGCACGGCCTCAGGAGATGACGCAGCTCCACCACGAGCAAGAGCAGCAGCACGCAGCTGGGGCAGTGTGGACAGCAGGAAGAATCACCACGCCATGCTGAGCAGAAAACTGCTGGTTTCTCCCTTTTTTTTTTTTTTTTTTAAAGTTGCCACCAAATACATCCATCCAATGGCTCGGTGAGCTGGGAGGGGACTGTCCCAACAGGGTCTGAGCCCCCCTGCAGCAGTCCCACTCCAGTACAGGGGTTGGAAATGAATAACAAGACAAAACATCCCACTGTGGCCTGAGATAACGTTTTAAGGTGGTCTTCTCTTTGGCAGGCAGGAACCGGTGATCAGAATCCATCTGGAAAGCTCCTGCCAGGCAGCTCCAGCTGGAAGCCTCATTCCTCCACCCAGAGTCGGGACTGGGCTGCCCACAGCTCCATGGAGGGGGTGATCACACCCAGGGGCTGCAGACCTCCATCCAGTGGCAAGAAGATGATGAGCCAACAAGCCCAGTGTAGGTCCCTGATGCGGGCCGGAGCGCCCATGGTGCCAGCGCTTTCCCCAGGCTCTGCCCGCAGCTCCCCGCAGTCACCTCCACTGTCCTCCCCAGCTCCACTGCATCCGAACACAGTGGATGCGCCTCCCTCCTGCGTAGGAATCGAGGCCTCGAGGCTCACAGAAAACCTGCCTGGGCGCAGGGGGATGCAGTGGAGTTCAGCAATGCCACTTGCTCGGCGTCTTCTCCACTGGAAAATCCTCCTTCCCTCCCCTACCCCTTACTTCTTTCCCTGAGAAAGATGGTTTTTCAAAAACAAAGCCCACGGAGGCTTGTTACAAACAACCCGGGGGAGGGCAGGCTGCAGGAGCTCTTCGGCCAGCCGTGCAAGGACTCAGGGCAGCCTGCCAGGGCCCCTCCTGACACCTCCCCAGCGTGCTCAAGCTGAAGGGCAAGCTCGGACCCGCTGGGGAAGTCACACTGGGGCTTCTCGGCTGCTGGCAAGACCCTAAACTGGCCAGGCTTGCCCATAGAGCCCAGGACCACAGCCTGCAGCAAGGGGGTAAGGCAAAGGTGCTGCAAACCCAGCCCCGGGTGACAGCGGGGACACCAGTGTTGCCCGGGCAGGGCCGGGCGCAAGGAGCCGGTTGGGGATGCGCAGACAGGAAGACATCTTCCTTCTGGGGTCCCTCGGCACGTGCCAGACAAATATGGTTGAGATATGAAGGAGGTTATAATTTATGAGAAAGGCTGGCAAGGAATATCTTGTATGTAGAGTGTTTTTAATTGGATTATGTACATCATGCTTCATGCCTTTGTTAACCGATTTAATGGTTCACCACTTAAGTTCACCACTTGCGTTAAATTTAGTAAAGTAGTCTAATCATTTCCAGAGCTATAACCAAATCAAGGGCTCAATTTCACAGAAGCCTGAAGCAGAGGAACTGTGAGACAATGGCCTAGATGCATAAAATTAACAGTTCTTGACCTCAAAAGGGGCAAAAAAAAGAAAGGTTTTAATGATTTGGTGTGTTTTTTGCGTGTGTCAATTTTGTTTGCAGCACCTGCACCAAGATGCTGGAGCAGGTTATAAATAGAGTCGCCTTCCCTTGCACAGGCACAGCAGAGCCACCCGTCCCCCCACGTTGGTGGCCCGTCCCCATGGGACATGGCGGGGGGGGGCGTCTGTGCACACCCCAGCATGCTGCCCTCTTCCACTCGAGAGGAGCAAACATGCACCAGCCATCTGCCCCACATGAGCAATCCCACAATAACAAACCCCCACATGAGCACAACAGGGAGAAATTGTTTGCTAGGAAAAAAAAAAAAAAACACCAACCTCAAACCCTTTCGGTTTTGTGTCTCGAGGGGTGCAGGTGCAGCAGCCACCAAGCAGCTCGGACCCACCACCCAAAACAGCTCGGGGATGAGCTCTGCCCTCCTCTCTGGGCCACCCAAGCCAGGGAGTCACTGGCCACCCCTTCGCCCGCAGCCACCCCAGGTCCCTCCCTCACCAGGCAGTAGACGCTGCCCAGAACTCCTGCCTCCTCCAAGTTCATCAGGCAAAGCGATTAAATGCCTGGCTGCTTAATGACGGGATGACACTCGCTCTGATCCGAGGAAGCAATTACCTTGAAAATGGGGGTCACGGGCCCCGCTCATTTACCTTAATTGAATTCCAATATCTGCCTCTAGCTGCCTGGGCTCCTGGCTGCGTCTTAAAGCAGCTCATCAAAGCCCAGCACCTCCCTCCATCGCTGTCTCTACCAGTTCACCTCCCAGCCCACTGCGAAGGTGCAGGCAGCGGCGGGCAGGAGGCCAGGCAGCTGTCTGCCACCCCAGCACGGACACACTGCTGTGCCCAAACTGCTTCCCAAGTGCCACTGCCACACACCCCCCCACGGGGCGGGACCCGGCTGCAGCCCAGGCTTCCCTCGGCCCCAAGGGCACGTTTCTACACTTAGCATTGTCCATCAAGACAGGAAAATGTAGATAAAACCAAGTTAAATGCAGAGAATCACAAAGATCCTTGTAGCTTAAGAAAGAAGTGTAAATAGTTACTCACAGACACACACACAAAAAAAATTAAAAGTCATTATTTTTTGGGAAACACCAAAACCCAGAGGAGCCCTGGAGTCACCTCCCCAGGACGCTGGTTGGGGACGCTGATGTCCCAGGGTTAAGGCAGCTCCAGAGAGCAGGTTTGCTGCAGGACTGAGACCGTTACACATCAATTAAAGAGACAATAAAAAAAACTGTTAGTCTTAAAAAAACTGCCCAAGATCTGTGAGAGAGAGAGAGAGCCCTGTAAGACGGGAGTGGGTAAGTCAATGCATGGAACAACAACTCTGTCAAGTTTACAGCACATTTCACATCAACAGCACACGCAGAGACATGCCTGGGCTCAGGGGGCTCTGGGAGGGCTGCTGGGCACCTGGCCCCACGCCCCAAACGCTCCCCACTCTCATGGAGAACATCAAATTTGGCTGGCGGAGGCCCCCGGCATTGCATTAGTGCCCGGGTAGGGGGACTGGGCTGCCCGAGCGGTGGCTACCACCCCCCATCTCACTCAATGCCGGATTGGGGGAGTTTTGGTGGTTTGGGGGGGTTGCAGGATGGCTGGGGTGCTGCGAGGTGCCCTTCTTGAACCCCACCTGAGCGCAGGATTGCCTCTGGTTATGGTAAATGATAGGAATAAAAGGGGTAATACACACGGTGAGAGGCAGATTGGGAAGTCCACGTACCCCGATGATAGCATTCAACTCCGTCATTGTCACTTGCTTGGCACGCTCAACAGCCTGTGCGACTTGCTGTTGGTGCTGCGGGGACAGAGGTGCGTGGCCAGGTCAGGGCCGGGCATGGGGGCACCGAGCCAAAGCATCACCACCCCCCTGAGCTGGTCACCCCCTTTTTTTGTCTATATTTTGCTGACCGCAGGGGGAGCTGGAGCAGCCCCTCGCAGCCTTTTTTTGCTCCTCAGGCTTGGCACAGACTCCCACAGCCCAGCAAAGCCCCTTATGGGGTCCAGCTCTCCCCCAGCCCAAGGGTTCTGCACGTGGGATCTGAGCCGTGTCTCATGAGACACCCCAGAGCAGCCCCACACCCCCAAAACATGGGTTTGGTGGGAACAGGTTCATGCCCCCTCATGGGACCACCCCGCTGCTGTGAGGGGCATGGTGCTGGGGAAATCCCCCACGAGCAGCAGCATCGCCCACGTGGGGCATGAAAACATCCTTACCTCTTGTGACAGAAAAGGCATGATCTGGGCTAAAATCGTATTCAGTCTTTTAGCAATTTCTGTCTGAAAAAAAGGAAGAAGAAAAAGCAACAGTCAGTACTGAGTAACCTCCCACGGACTGCACGAGGCTTCCCAGCAGCAGCGCCGTGTGTCCCCTCCCTGTCCCCTCTCATGCAACTCCCCCCATCCCTGTCCCCTCCCAGCCACATAAGAGGAAGCAGTGACTCCCCAAAGAGGCAACAAAAGTGTCTTTGTGCACACTCGGTGCTCACCAGCGCAGGGCCACGGCCCCGCTCCCCTTCCCATGGTGGGACCAAGTGTCACTGAGCAGCCCCAGCAGCTCTGCTCCAGCCTGGGCCCCCCTGGCTTCAGGAGAACACGGCCAGGCACCGGCTCCACTCCCCATCCCCGGAGCAGCTGCTGCTCCCCCAAGAGCTGGGGATCACGCACGATGCAGTCTGCACATCCAGCCGGGACCACACGCCAGGCACAGCCCTTTGCCAGCACTTCCCACCCCCAGCACTTCTTTGCAGGCGTCGAGTTCCTCCCATATAAACCTCGGCAAACACACCCCGCCCTGTGCAGCAAGCACACGGTCAGCAGCGAGGGCTGGGGGGTCCTTGCTCTGATCTCAGCACCATCAAGGTCTTTCCCCGCCCCAAACCAAAGCTGCCGGGGTTCCTTTTGCCATCCTCGCATCACACTCCAGAAATTCAACCCACAACCGTTTACACCCATCAGCTTGACCACGTTATTTGGGAGTTTAACAACCGCTCTACGCTGCCAAACTATGGTTTCTGCAACATCTCCGTTAACTGGGAATAACATTTTCCTCGAGTGGTAACCCCAGCATGTATTTGGGGCAGCCCGGTGCTGGGAGGTGCCACCCCACCCCTTGATGCTCCCACTCAGCACATGGAGCCGCCCCGGATCACCGCTGCCCGGCCCCCAAGAGTTAACGGTGGCTGCTCCGCCGGCCGAGGCAGCTGTTAAAACAGCTTTTGGTCCAACTCAAACACAGCCCGAGCAGCCGCGAGGATTCAGCGCCGAAACAATGGCCAGAGCCGAGCCCTGGCACAGAATCAAACACCCAGAAATTCCTTCCGACAGCCCCAAGCAGCTCGTTATCAATAACACAAGTGATTAAGCAGGTCTCGCTCCAGCCTCCCTGTCGGTGAGGTGCCTCCTACCAGGACAGACAGCAGCTGCCCCCCACTCCGAGATCCCCATGTGCTCCCCAAATCGCCGCCTCCACCGCCAGCACCCCAAGGCTTTGCTCTCCTGATCCCCACTGCTCGGCCCCAAGGCCTCCCTGGGACGTGTCCTACAGCAGCTCTGCTCTTTGAACCCAGCTCCAGCAGGGTGCCAACCCAGAGGGGGGCTCTCAGCTCCACCTGCTCTCAAACACCCCAAGAAAAAAATTCAAATACCATAGTTTGGAGGGGAAAAAAAAAACCCAAACAAGATACCAACCCTTGAGTTGCGGTGTTGGGATATGCTGACATCACAAGACCAACCCGACAAGCACAAGCACCTCGATAGGCCCCAGCCTGGGCTCTCACCTCAACAGAGAAAACCGGCTTGCAGAGACCTCATGGCCACCCAAGCTTGAGGACCTGCTGCAAGTGGTCCCCATGAACCCCCCGCAGCACCTTCGCGTGGGCATTACCACTTTTGGCTTCAAAGTGCCGGGGATATTTCTGGCCATCGTCTTTTCCGAAAGCGCCCCGGTGATCGCGTTACACCTGATGCTTTTATTAGCCCTTCTCGAGGTCGGGGGAAAGTGCTGGTGCACTGTGCCAGGGCAGAGGCAGCTGGAAGTGACAAGGGTTTGGACTCTGGTACCTTGGCTACATCTACACAAGTGTGGTAGCCCCCAGGACTATCACGGACCCAAAAGCCAGGATGCGGGGCTCAGGCAGCTGTGGAAGGTGTGATACTCCCTGCCCTGAGGAGAGGGCTCTGGGTGCATCACCCACCAATGGCTCCACGCCCCTGAAACTGGGCTGCAAGCTAAAACTGCACAAACACAACCCAGCCACGGCGCCGTGTCTGAGGCAGGGGCAGCAGGGGCCAGCACCGTGCGTGGCCACCAGCCACTCTGGCAAAGTCGTGTCACTTCAACGCTGCCGTAGTGCCACTGACAGCCACCCCGGTGCTTGCAGCCTGCACTGCTCAGCGATAGGTAAACCTCTTTAAAGGCCTTTTTGGCACCGACGCATCGATTAGATTATATATAAACTGCAGCTCCATTAAATATTTATCCCTTCAGATGAAGCCTATTGGATTCTGGATGCAACAAGCACTCGGCGCCTTGCTCCTCCAGAACAGTGACTTCTCCTGCGAGCTCTTGCTTGCCAGCCCCCAACAAATTCTAGAACAAATTCAATCCTTATTTGAGGTAAAAACAGCACGAGTAGTCCCTCCAGTTGTGTGTTGCAAAGGTCATTTAGGTGTACAGAAAAAAAAATGCAGCATCCAAACAAGCCGCCTCCGTGGCCGAGAGAAGGAAGGTGCTGGGTTTCCCCCAGGCACCATCAAGCACTAACAGTCCAGACAAACAAGACGCAGACAACCCATCGCCTCCACGTTTAAATCCAATTCTGCCCAAACTTCCAATGCAGATTTGAAGAAAAACTTCGCACTCTGCAAAAGGAGAGACTTCCCACCTGGGATTCAGCAAGCAAGAAGATATTAGATGGCCAAAATATTATGTTTACAACCGTGAGGTTTCCTGTTAACATGCGACCCAATAATCCTTAAATATTTGTTCACTTTAACATTCCCCATTCCCCAGTATATTAAACTCTAGTTGTCCCCACTAAAAGTTTAATCGGGAGCGAAAGGGGATCCTTCGGTGCGCCAGAAACAGGGGAGGGTTTCATGCCCAACACCTTCCCCATAACAGGGCTCATTCATCACCTTGCCCCAGCACGGCAGAGCTCCCCCCCCACCCC